TCCGCCAGTAATTAATTTGTTAATGATCCCTGTTGATCCCACATTAATTAGATGTATGTTTAAAGGCATTTTGAGGTTTATGAGGAGAATATTTTACCACATCTAATTAGCCTTTAAGGAATGAATATAACAATATGCTTGCAAACATCCAAAAGTTGATGCTACTTAAGTTTTCTTCACATTAATCCAATATTATTTTAATTGGGAGTTTCATGCAATATGTATCTGTAATTTGGCGCTTTTGTTAATTTCAAACAAATTGTCTAAATCTGGTAAAAATTAACATCGCTGAAAAGCAGATAGCCGCTGGTTTTTGCAATCATGAGCCAGGTGGAGTTATAATCAGGAAAAAAAATTCAGTTTACAAGAAAAGTTAAGCTCTGGGAATTGATATTGACAAATACCATTTGTAGATTTCAGGGTTATGAATAGTAATATTTTCTTACATTTTCCCTGGAATTAGAATAAAAAATACAGCTATGTGAGTGGAGACTACGAAGCTCCAGTTCATATATCATACATCCAAATATGGAGGACAAAGGATGAGAAATTTTTTGGAATGAAGTTCAATACTGTTAATCAAACTTCTATATAGTCACCTTTGGGTGATCGAGTGGTTGAATAGAAACTTTTGGGGTATTACCCAGGAGGTCTTGAGTCCGATTCACCTCAATTGCTAATAGAGGTGACTATTGGAGGTTTACCAGACCATTAACTTCAGGGTCTTAGGGATTAGTTGAGATACACAAGTTGGCCCGGACAACCCGATCACCCGAAAAAAAAAAAAAAAAGGTTCACAGTATGACTTGTCAAAATTATATATAAGTGTAACGTTTATGTAATATATACCACTCATTATGTTACAAAACTTTTATTAGGGTTGGCAATTTCAGGGGTGGGCCGGGGACCTTCATCTCCAACCCCATTCCTGTAAAGATGTCGCCCTTTCCATAACCTCAAATCTTTGGGAGATGGGGGCAGGTATCCCCAAGATAGGGGAAAGCAATACCCACCCCGGCCTTGTACCCACACTTGGGAAATCCCGAAATTGTTTCTTTTTTTAATTGAATTTTAAATGGAATATTCATTATAATTAATTATATATATTAAATATCTTTGTAAGAGACGGAGTCGGGTTTCGTGGGTTTCCACATTTCCCCAACCTCAGACCTTTTAAGGGATTTTCTGTCTGGTGGAACCAGGTTTTTTGCCATCCTTAAATTTATCTTAAAAGATGAAATTAATTAAAGAAGAATCATTGTCAAAATCATCAATACAAAAAGAATTAATAATTAAGGTGTATGATTGCTGCAATATAATTAATTATTTGATTCATTTTACTTTCAATCTTCTAGTGCGTTATTTTGGATGGTCAGTGTTATTCTAATACAAAACCATATAAATATTTACTATTTTGAATGAAAAGAGAAGAGCTAGCTAGCTCATTAAGTTCAAGTATATAATGACAAAGTATAGAAAGGAAGAATGTACCAAAGTTTTCACGTTGGGATCTCTATTTGCAGTCACATGTTTGCAAGGCACAGATCCTTGATTAAGAGACAAATAAACTCAAATCCAAACTAAAGATATATCCTAGAATGATAGAAGGCAGAAGCTACTAGATGATCTTGAGCTTGTGGTTATGCTGTTTTCAAAAAAAATTGGGTGTGTTTGATTTATTATTTTGGATTGGATTTTGGGAATAATATTGGGTAGTTGGATATGGGAGTATTACGATGTAAAATTTATAATAAAAAAAAACCCCTATGTTTGCTAATTTGATAAACACCCCAATATATTAAAATATTGTAAATTGACAAAAACACCCCTACCACCCGCAGTGCCAGATTCCCGCCACCATCGCCGGAATCTGGTCGGAAAATTTTTTAATGACACATATCGGTCGGATCTAATGGATATTCGATTGATATGGCCTTTTCCGATCATATCCACCACGGATCTGGCCCGAAAAGGCCAGATCTAAGGCTGGATGTGGCCATCGACGGCCGAAAAATTTCTGACGGCCAGATCAGTGAATTACCGACCATTTTCGATGGTGGTGTGACTATTGTGAGAGGCCGGTGATAGCCGGAATCTGGCATGTATGAGTGGGTGAGAGTGTTTTTGTTAGTTTTTAAACTTTTTTTCTGTGAGTATTTAATGAAATTAATAAGCTTAAGGGGTCTAAAAATAATTAAAAAAATAGACTAATATTTCTGAAATAATGTGCCAAATAATATTTGGGGAATATGGATAGAAATAATAAGTCAAACGCATTTATTTTTCTCATGGCTAAAAATAAATGTATTCGGTTGTTTATAAAATTACTTGTACACTAGCTAGTTGCCACTTCTTACAAGTAAGATGCAAAACTGAGTTTGTGAAGAAAAAAAATGCTATTTGATATAATGCATGGATCAAAAAGTATATTATTGCTTGGATTATCACCAACCCTTTTTGCAATAAACAGTTACGACAAATGTAGACTTCCAAGTAGACAGTTCAAAATAAAATAATAATGGAGACAGACAGGATGTGTTAATTCTTAATTCAAATTATAAAGCATGAGCGTTTTACACATTGGAGATATCGCAAATAAGAATATAAAGGGAATACAAAAGTGGGTTTTGGAATTTTGTAAGTGTAATTGAGATAGAAATTGAGAGAAAATCAGTGACAACCTTATAAAATTACGGTGGAACTGTGTCCACCTAGAACTAAAAGGCCGAAACTAATTTAAGACCTGGGCTTCCCAAAAGGCCTGTATTAATAAGAGGAATGGCTAAGTCTTCTAAAGTCTTGGATTTTCTTTTATCGTTTACACATGTTGTAAGTTGCAACATCTTGTTGTATATGCATGTATTGTCTTGTTCACATGATCGTACTAAACAAAACATGTCAAGCTATGGAGCTAAAAAAGAGTTCCGCAATTGAAGCTCAAGTGGAGCTCGAACTGACCAAGTGGTGTCTTGGACAGAAGCTTGTTATAGCAAAACACTAAAGGAATCAGAAGGTAGAGTTAGAGTCTTGTAGAACAATGAGTATTTTACATTGTAGTACTTAACATCAACTCTGGATTTGCTTGTATTGTGTTTGTTATAGTGGATTTGTTTCATGTGGACTTAGTCTGATAGGTGTAGGCTAAAATGATTCTAGTCAAACCATGTAAATCTCTGTGTGCTTTATTTGTATGCTCATGGTTAGTTGATTAATTTGTTGATTTGGTAAACATCAAGCAAAATGGTTAAACACTCACTAATACCCATTCCGCTGTGTTAAAAAGAGTCCATAAACTCTTACAACAATATACAAGATAGCAATACCAAATGTCAAATAACTCAATATCTTACCAGGTATACAAGTGTGCAATACCAAATATCAGATAACCCATTACCTAACTAGGTACTAATTAACCGAGACTAGAAAGAATCCCTTAGGTACTAATTAATAGAGACTGGAAACAATCCTATTTTCACCGATCAACCTTTAGTGTTTAAACAGTACTTTTACACTATATTATTTGTAGACTTAGCAAAACGGATCTATACCCGTGGGCACCCTTTTTGAAAACGGGTATGGGTAAACATTTTAAGCCTTGTTTTCATGTGATAAAAAGGGTTGGACCGGATACACCCGTGGGTACCGTATTTTGAAGGGAGGAAGGAAGAAAAAAAAAAAAAACTTTTTTAGTCCAAGGTTTTCTTTCAAACAAAACAATACTCAATCTCAAAGTCAAAAGTGCAAAGACCAAAAACTATCACTTACTCTTCTCCTCATTCTCAAACACTATCACAGTAGGATTTTGCTCCCGTGACCCGCCGACACCACCCATACCCATCTCACTTTCAAACACTATTACCTCCTCATTCTCACTTTCTCACATCCCATACCCATCACATACCCGCCGCCGCTGCTCTCTCACTCCGTACTCCAACGCACAACACCTAGCGGGAGACGCCCAGCGTACAACTACCACGCGACTCCACCGGCAGCTTCCACTATCTGCAACATGTGTGATTTTGTTGGATAAATCTCTTGTGGATTATTGTTTGTTGTGTTGGTTGAGAGATTGCTGCCCATCTGGTGTGAAATTTGATTGGAGAAGTTGTTTGTTTAGGAGTTTTGATTTGGAAGTGTTGAATGGATTTTGTGATTGAATTTGTTTGTTGTGGAATTCGCCATTTTCACCTTGCCCACCACCTGCTTGATAAATTGCCCGGACCACTCTTGTAAATTTGTTAAATAAAATCTTATTTTATTTGGTATTGTTGAAGAAAAACTAATGTGAAGATAAGATCAATTAATAAATTAGAAATAATACAGTAAAGGTGGAATTAGAGAAGAAGAGAGTGTTGTGATTTGGATATGGCGTGGGTAGTGCTTGAAGAAGCAGACAGCTGGAGCTCACTAGAAAAAAGGGGTATCCGCGGGTCGGCCCGAACTCGTATAGAGTAGGATACGGATATAATATTTTAGACCCATATAGAATCCGTCCTTTTTTTCCTCTATCCGTTTGGCTCGGCCCATACCCACCCGACTCACCTGTTTTGCCATGTCTAATTATCTGTAACCATTTCTTCTATCAGACCCTAAAATTGGTTATCAACTTGGAGATTTTTTATTCTAATAGGATTCATTCTTTTATTCTTAACAAAATTTGTAAGGAAACAATTAAACAAAACCTTATCCTTCATCCATTATTGACATCTTAAAGGCCTTGTGTTGTGTCTTGAATTTCGGGCATTATAATTGGTATGACTATAAACTTCTTATTTATGAAAAATATATATAAGATCTTTAACATATATGTGTATAATCAATACTTAATTAATTGTGTAATATTAAAGTAGATATCGTATACTCAACTATTAGAAAAATATGTACATATACTTCATGTGCACTGATGATTTCATTTTCATGATAATATGCAACTGAGAACTTGGATCTAGAACATGCTACAGAGACATTTTTCATTTAACTTTGATTTAAAAAAAAAAAAAAAAAAAAAAAAAAACACATTCTTATTTTTACACATTTTGGCAGTCAGTAACTGCTAGCTCCATCCATGCATAATAAAGAAAAGACCAAACACTAAAAATAAACATCACTTCAAATTTCAAACACCATTTTCTTCACTGGCTACATACCATGCGATTGAAATCCTTTGTCATTCAAACACTGCATTAGAGAAATAAAAAAAATGAATCAATAAATAACAAATAATATATATCTAAAATCTGCACGTTCTATATAAATAGATATACACAAACCGGTCAGAACTCTACGTTGTTAAAGCCAATATAATATAATGCATCATCAAAACATATTTGTAATATTCAACGTCATAGCTATTATGTGAAATATCATATTTCAATTTAAACTTGTAACTTCATAATTCATTTAATATAGTAAGTGTCACATATATTATAATTGCAACGATTCATATCATGAACTAGATTTTACATGTTATGATACCTATAATTATCAATATTTAAAACAAAACAAAAAAACCTTCATTAATTAAAATATTGATTCATGTCATCAACAAGATTTATACCTATATTAGTAATACTAATCGCATCAACTTTCAGATCCCAATTTTATATACATAATTTTACATACCTTTGAAAGGATATATCGATTTTTCCGGCATCAGGATTGGCAATGACCGCAAAAGCTTCTTGAGATAAGTCAATAGTACCACGGCAACCAGGGGGACAATAGTCAACAATCTCCACAACAACTGATGCTCCTGTGCATGGATAGGGATCTCCCTCATTGGTTGCTCCTGTGCAAGTAACCTTGTAGTTTTTCCCACAGGCACCTCTGTTCTCCCAGATTGCATCGCTCGCCGCAGCAATCATCACCCCATCATTTTGAAATCCATTACAAGATGAAGCTGCATCCACACAATTAAATGTTGTAAAGGAAAAACTGAAACAATAATCAAATTACAAATATATGTACTAGGCTAGCTAATTATAGGGTAAAGGTTTTTAATATAAATTGAAACCCATATGACTAGTCTAAATATGATTAAGTTCAGTGAGATTTTGAGGCTTACGAACGTATGGAGGAGTATAGAAGGTTGCAGTCCCTGTATCTGCAACAGCTTCCTTTGAAATGAAGCAAAAAAGTAATGATATGGTTATGAATAGCATTTTATGGAGTGCCATCTCAAGTATTGATTAATTCTTCTGATATTCAAGTTTGGGAAAATTGTGATTTAGGTAGCTTACACAAGAGCTATTTATAGATGTCTGTAAAGGCTATTTATTCTATTAATCATATCATATTGTATAATATGATCATCTCATCTGATCAACTTTTTACATTACATACAAGCTACAATTGTTAATTGGTCAACAGAAAGAAATAAAATAATTTAATATATATATACTTTCTTCATCTTAGTTGTAAACGAAGATCTCTATTATAACATTGCAGAGCACCTATAATAGAAATATTTCTTTTATGATATTTATTTTGGTTAATTATTCATAGTATATAAACTTTATATTTATTTAGATGTGTTTGTTTCTTTTATCTCAAGTAAGATTGCTTAATACGAAATGCACCCGTTGTTATTAAAATGTATTATACCCCTTTTAGAGTTAACAAAAATATTCTTTAAATATATCAAAATTCCCTTACAAAAACTAACACAGTGACAAGATATTTAAAATATTTTTCACAAATAATATTTATGTTTTACACTGAATGATCTCGAATGGATAAATAAAATAAAGTATAACAAATTTGTGACACGAATTCATAGCATTAATTCAACGTAAACACTTACTTAAATAAAAATTATTTTAAAAGAAAAGTCCTGAAGTCTTCTTAAACAAATATAGGATACTCATCTTGGTAAAACAATAAATAACAGAAATTATGATTTGGTCATGACTCATCAATATTGGCATCTCTCAAGGTGAAGTCAATTTCATTGCGAGTTACAAACAAAAGGATATTACCATAGAAGAATTGACTGGCTAAATGAGTCACTGAAATGGACCAATAGTATTTATTACAAGTAAATGATAGTTCCAATTTTATCTCTTTGCAGCTGGTTATGTCCTTGAACTAAAATGTGTTTCTTCTTAGGAAGAGTACACAATCCAAGAATATGCTTCTGGAATAATGGGATTTTTAATTTGGAAAAAGATAAATCCAAGAAGTTAGGGCCAAATGACAGTTTTGGGAGATCTTATGCTTGTCGTTTTGGCTAAATCTAGCCATAAGACCGCTCTTTATTTATTTTACTCTTAAAACTTTCTTTAATTGGTATCTGGTTAGGGTTAGTGATCCAAGAATGCCAACTTAGGTAGCCCATTAATCATACATATCATGGCCAAGCATTAACCTTCTGAAGTGACTTATCGTACCCTAAAAAGCCCATTCAGAAACTATAAACAAATTAATTTTAATGCTTCATTTTTATCTATAATTAAAGCTATTAGAGGTAATGTTGGAAAAGTACCTAACCGGCCCGGCCTGGCCGTGGCGGGTTGGTTGTTTTGGGTGTTGAGACTAACCCCGCCCGCCAACAAAGGTGGCCCGGGTTAGGCCCGCCACTTGTTAGGGTTGGCTGGCTCGGCCCGCCAACCCTAACCCATTGGGTTAGGCTGCGAGCCGGACCGGGTTAGCCCCCTTTTTATTTATTATTTTCTTTTTTTTTTTTTTCTTTTGTTTTGTTTAGTTAACTTTTCAAATGAATAATTAACATTTAAAAATGAATATGTAATTGTTTTTAGTTAACTTTTCAAATCAATAATTCAATTAAATTAATTTTTTTTTTTTTTTTTGTTAACATTTCAAATATTAATTCAATTTTAATACAATAAAATTGTAATATAAAAAAATTAGATTTATTCATTTATCAAAAATAAATAAGAATTATAAACAATTATTTCCTTGTTAAAAACCTCACCAAGAAAACCCAATGGACAAAAACTTGGTAAAGAAAAAAAGTGCAATAATTGACAATAAGTTACAATTTACAAAACAACTAATTTGGGGGTTGACTAGGACCTCCCTCATCCATATCATCTACATTACAAAATTGAAATGATATATTAAAGTATATCGCACACCTCGTATTGATTTTGATGCGCGACCGTTCCCAATCTCGAAGACATGTGAGGACTTCAATCATTTTTTGTGAAAGCTTGTCCTCATTTCATTTAAAATTATTCCACTTGCACTAAATGTTTGTTCGGATGAGACGGTTGAGACAAGAACAACGAAAACATCCAAGGCAAGTCTTGATAATACAAAAAAATACATTTTCGGTTTTCCAATTTCTAAGACATCAAAGTTGGCTCTTTGTTGGATCTGCTAGTAACATTTCGGTTCCCAAATATTTTGACCTCATTACTCTGTGACTGCATGGAGGACAGTATTTTCGTTGTTGTGCTTCTAAAGAGGAGTTGTGCTTCGGATTCGGGTCCTCTTCGGCCTATTAAGTGCACTCCGGAGTAGAAATCTTCATTTGTTTCTTTTATTAACTTCCTTAGGTATTTCGCTCTCTGGCAGTTCCCATACTTGTTTTCATATTGGAAATATACTTCTGTAAGACAATCTCTTATCTCTCCTATTTGATTGCATATGCTTCGTTTTGTAAATTTTCACAATGTGTCTAAACCATTTTCTAAACCTCTAATTTAATTCTAGGATCAAATATAGCACCTAAACAATAAAAAAATGAATGGGTTTCCAATATTTAAAAAAAAAAAAAATCATTGCCTTTATTGGTCCCCCTAAAATTTCATTGTTTTTGTTTTTTTAATAATACTCTGAAATTTTTATAATTGTATGTATTACCAATGGACTAGTAGGATAATACACAAAAAAGTTTAAAGTGGATTGGTAAAAAATTTAAGAAAAAAATGAATATTTTAGCTATATGCTCATATTTCTACCAAAAATGAGGACCTCTATTATGCTATAAAATAACTAATTAAATTTGCATAAGGTAAACGAATCAAACATTAAATAAGTACTACCATCTAACAGGCATGTCTAATGCAAAAGTTCTAGAGACATATTGATTTTATACAAACATCTTGAAATTCACATTTCTTTATTATACTAGTAATCCAAGGTAAAGAATCTCTAATTCTATCAATATTATTTTTAATTGTTTTCATACACTTTTCACAATTAATTAATATGTGACATGTACAACATTGGTGAAAAATTCAAATTGTTAAAATGATAATTAATTTAAAAATCTATAGTTGTACTATTAGCACTTGCATTATCTAGTTAAACTTATCATTATTAATAACATCATAATCTTCTAAAACTTCAACAATTTTATTATAATTTGTTGACCACTATGATCCACATCCATTAATCTAAATCCTAATAAAGATTTATTAATTTACATTCTTTATCAAAATAATAACTAGTCACACAAATATAATTTGTTTAACTCTACCACTCCAAATATCGGCAGTTAGGCCCCCTAACATGACAACTATGTATTTTTTTTTAATTCTAATTTCATTTTCCCAAACAATTTATTAAATCTTCTATTTGTAGTTTTAGAATAACTTTTAAATCTGAAAAAATGAATTTTTAATAAATCTTTCAAATATTTATCTTCAGTCATATTAGAGGTTGTCAGTTGCAGCAATATATAAAGCTAATTGTTCCCTATATACATCAGAATTATAACGCCAATTAGTACCCATATTAGTTATTTGAGTTTGATTGGTTTCTCTATTTCCATGTTGAGATATGTTTATTAGCATGCTTTTTAAAGTACTAGTACATTACCTAAATCAGCTTTATAAATATTTCCACAATACTTGCATCTTGCTTTTTTCACTTGAACTCCATTTCTACTCGTAAAACTTATCGAAATGCACCCAAACGTCGGATGTGTGTTCGTCGTCGGTTTCGACACGCAGTTGATGAACCTACTTTCTCTGAGATGAAGTTGGACGAGACGACTTCTAGAACCACCTGGAGCTGTAGCACATGGGGAGGAATCGGGAGCATATTTTGAGATGTATCGGATTTTGAGACTGGGAAAGCGACTATTTGAATCTGCTGCATTTATGTTAGTAAATCAACGAGACTAGGATAGTAGTTTCCTCATCATCGAAATTGATGGAAGAGAAATATTATCCATTGTAGTTAAAAAAAAAAAAAATGATATAGAAGAAATAAAAAATTAGAGAGAATTGGAATATGGAAATATGAATTGAAAATTGCAAAAACTAATAAAATTAAAATAGAGCAAATTGACAACAAAGAGAATAATTGAGAGATTTCAATAGAGATTAGAGATATAGAGAATGAGAGAATTTGGGATGTGAGAAAATATGAGAGTTTAGGGCCAATTTTAGAAAAAAAATGGGAAAAGAAAATGAGAAAAAGACTTTCCATGCTTAAAACGGCTATATTTCAGGTAAAAAGGTATTTGAAAAAAAAAATTTTTGTTTTTTTTTTTTCGCCAACCCCCGATTGGTTGTTGCTAACCCGCGGTCAACCCGGGGTTGGCCGTTGGTTTCAACGGCTAACCCGCCAGGTTGGCGGTCCTTTCAAAAAAAAACAAAACAGCAACCCGTCGGTCGCCAGTGTTGCCATATTCAACCCGGCCTGCCCAGGGGTTGCATGTTGGTCGAGTTCAACCCGGCCGCCTAGTTGAACCCTCTTAATGTGTCTGGTGAACCCTCTTTAATGCTGGCCGGGTTGGGTTGACCGCCTAACCCGACCATTTGTTCCACCTTTAATTAGGGCTATATAGGAAGTAGTATTGGTCAACTACGTCAAATTTGTAATGAAAGCTTGTTTCGAATTAAATTATTAGCTTATTTCATAATTATCTGAATAAATTATAAGTTGCATATTTTTAGGGTATTTGGGCTATTTGAAAACTATTCTAATCTACTTTTAAATCTTTTATAAGATGAATTATTTTATTCTAAGTAATTTTTCAAATGATTCTATATTTTGATTGCTAGCGGTAGAGTTCAAGCTCAAGGAAAAGCTCAACCAAAAGACCGGTCTAATAAGTGAGAAAGCCCTTAAACTTAAGTACATTGGGATCCAACATTGCATCTCCCTTTCAAAAGCCGACATCCACAACGACTTTCACTCTATTGACATTGACCCAATAGTAGCCTTTTCCTCATTTGGGTAGCTTCACTCACTTATCAGTTATTCGATGTAGCATCTCCTTCCAAGAAGAGCACACTGCACCTTAATCTAGCCTATAGAAAGCCTTTTTTGCAACTTAACTCTCAATGAAAGCATCAATGTTATAACTCGAGTCCAAAAGAGAGCCCAACCCAACTCTCAACAACAAAAACACCAATGTTATAACTCAAGCTCAAAGGAGAATCTAACCTTTTTCGCAACCTAACTTAGAACTCAAACACCAACGTTAGAACTCAAACCCAAGGAAAAGTCTAACCCAAAAGACTTGCCTAATAAGTGAGAAAAACCCTAAGCTTAAGTGTCATACTTAGTGGATATAAGATCTCGATGTAGGATCCTAACAGCTAACTAGACTCATGTTAGTTCACAAATTTATTTTTTGAACTCTTAGATTCCTCAGTAATCACATTTGATAAAAATAGGAATCAAATATCCATATAAATTATATATACATTTAATATTTTCTTTTCTTCTCTCCCCAAAAGCTCAAGCTAAATGTGAGTGACTTATTAATCAAACCATCACTTTTGTTTGTATGAATAAAATTTTAGGTTAGGATTGTAGATGTGCAAATGGTATCACTCTGGCAACTCATTGATTAAATTTAAAATGTGTAATGACCAAATCTTTTACAACAAACAATTGTACATATCAAAGTATTACTAACCCCCATCATCTCCAAAAATGGCATTCAAAAATATAATAGATTTACACCTTTTGATTCCCACCACAACTTCTAACCATCTATACATACAATTTGAAGACGAAGGGTTTTTAGTAGTTGTAGTATACATGTACCCAGACCCTAAAAAAAAGTTAATAGAAGTGGTTAGAAAAAGATTTGCCAAAACCTCGAGTTTGGTATTTTTGGTCAAGAAACCTCAACCTTGAGTGTAATCGCCCATCAGTCCATTACCACCATTACCAGATGTACCCAGCTGAATATCAAAAATTGCTGGTACTGTAGACCCAGTAATGATCCCGAGGCTTGGAAAGTCCTTTTAGGAGTCGGAGACAGATTTAGGTTTGGATTGGAAGAACTTGGCGACGGCCTGATAGAGGTTTTCTTCCTCGAAGGGCTTGGAGACGTATCCATCCATTCCACATTTCAGGCACTCTTCATATGTTGCATGAATAACATCAGCTGTCATGGCTAATATTGGCATGTGCCACTCAGATTTTTTAGCAGTGCCATCGATTGTTGATCCACCATTTACCATCTGCTGCTCATTTACTTGGCTCTCCATCTTCCGAATTCGACGAGTTGCCTCAAACCTGAAACGAAATGAAAAAAGAATTAAAAGAAATCCTTAAACAATCTGTGCATAAAAGAAACACATTACAAATACAATGCAACATTACAACATCCATAGGGATAAAGAAAAATCTCATTGTGCTTTGCGAGGGATCAGAACAATAAAATAGTTTTAAGTAGACGCAAAATCTCATTGGGAAGTTAAGATCGAAGCATAAAGAAGCACCACTTAAAATATATTATGATATCAAGCATGCCACAATTCATCCCCATGGGAAAAAAAATGGACTTATTATTGGTCATATGACAGCCAAATGGATAGTAAACCAACCAAACAGTATATGCAAACCAAAATACTAATGTCTTTCACACATGAATCAGCGAATTGGCATGAGGATCTGGCTGTTTAATAACGAATATCATCTCCATGAAGAACTACCAAGCATAGTAGTAAACAGACTATTTAATCTGAGTAATATTCAGATAGCTACTATTTACACAATTGAACATGTCAAACAAGTAAAAGGGCTATTTAATATGTTGACGTTTCTTTTGCTCCCAAAATTAAAAAAAAAAAAAAACAATCACTACAAATCAAATATAATTATTTATAATAAGGTGAAAGCCATATAAACAAAACATCATAACTTCCTAGGTCTCCGAAACTCCAAAGAGTTTGGGACAAGACTTCATCAATGTAGGAAGAAAATGGAAAACAATATGAAATAGATTAATTGCCATTTCAGAAAAAGAGACATACCCATCCATTTCCGGCATTTGAATATCCATGAAACAAGCATCAAAACTGTGTGGTATTTGAAGCAACTTCAGTGCAGTTCCACCACTATCAGCGCACTCTACATTGGCGCCAAACTTCTTTAGTGCACCGGCAGCAACTCTGCGATTTACCATGTTGTCATCAACCACCAAAATTTTCTTGCCACAGAGCAAGCTCTTAATAGGGACTCTAGGTTCATTTGGCGCATCTTTACCAGCTTGCTTCTTCATCCCTACACTAAGTACCTGTTGTAGACAAGCTGCAATCATACTTGCTCTTAATGGTTTCATGATGACAGTATCCGAGAAACCTGCGGCCTTTGCTTTATCAAATTCATCATCACTCATATTGGTTGCAAGAAGAATGAGCCTAGGCAACTTTAAGACATGGCCATTCTGCCTCAAATCCAAGAACTGTCCTTTAGCAGAACCATCCTCGCCAGAAATCCAATAATCCTTCTCAACAAGAATCATATCAGGCTGGATATTATTTCTGCCATATTCATTGAAGTAATACCCGTTAGCGCAATTACATAAGTTGAACATATTATAAGAAAGGGACTTGTTTTAAACATCAACTATTATAGGGTCTTACTATGTCTGAATATTTCATGAAAACTGTCTTTGTTTCTCAATATATAACCCTTAAGCATTAATTGGCATCCCTTACATCTAGAGAATTTCTCATAGTTCTGGTCCTACTGGAAAATTGCTTGGATCATTGTACAAATATGAATACATAAACCGAACAAAACCAGACTCAAGCATCTCCAAAACTCCCAAAAGTGAAATATTTTAGTGCTTTGTAAATATGAAGATATATCAAAGGCATAAAACAGGATGTTCAAGTGACAATTGTGATATATACTATATAGTCATTCCCCAAGGTTGTCTTAAGACAGAGCGGAGCCAGGGGAAATTCCCTCAGGCTCAAGCCCTGATGAAACTTTTAGGAAAAATAAAAGTTGAATTTTTTTTTTAATTAAATTAAAAATCTCTCTCCATCCTAATAAATAATTATAATTCCATAATTTCTCAGTTTGTTTTCTATAGAATTCATCATACAATCTTTTCTGTTATTTCTACACCACCTTTTTTTTTAAAAAAAAATCACTGTTTATCATCTTTTTTATTAATGTTATACTCATATCAACAAGATTAATAGGTTTTCATATGTATATTTAAAATTTCTTTCAACCCTCCTGAAAACAATTTTCTAGTTTCAGCCCAGCCTAGATAAAAAGACAAAAATTAGCAGTGGGCCAACAAGTCAAGGTGTAGTTGTAGTATTTTATTGGGATTTCTTCAATTTGGACACAATCAATAAGGATTGCCTTTGCGCTTCAAAAAACTTACCCAGAAATTGTAGAACCATTTTTTCCAGACATGCCAGCCACCGAGTTGATGCTGGTAGCAACTTCAGACACGATGCCAAGTCTCTTCAAATGGTATCGGGTTACGGCAGCTCTGACTGGTTTTTCATCAACTACTACTGCTTTCAGTCCTCCAAAAGCCAAAGGCAGCTCCTCAGATTTAGACTTGCTCCTATCAAGGCATGCTTTTTTCTTATACCTCCCAAAAACAGCAGTGAATGAAAATGTGCTCCCAATCTTAGGGCGGCTTACAAAGTTTATCTGACCATGCATCAGCTCAACCAGACACTTACTGATGCTTAAGCCAATGCCGGTTCCTCCATAATGTCTAGAGGTTGAGCTGTCTGCTTGCATGAAGGGCATGAAAACCCTGTCCTGGGCAGAGAAAGGGATCCCGATTCCTGTATCCTCCACACATACCATCAAAGTGACATCCTCTGAGGCATCATTAGCTGCCATCATGTCTATAACTGACGCATTAGATTGTAAATCTTCAACAGCAGCTAAATGTCTAAACGTATCCCAACAATTCCGTTCATCAGCTGCTTGAAAACCACTCAAGGTTCTATACTGATCCTTACCAGATTTGCCACCTTCTTCTGACCCACCATTCAAGAAAGTCTCATCTTTCACATTCGTATTGCCATTTGACTGTCCAGCTAGATGGACTTTGACGAATATATGTCCTCGTTCAGTGAACTGAAAAAAAACTTAACATAATGAATATCAACTATATCAAGACATTAAGCAAAGAAAACTACGAGTGACATGGTAGGAAATTAGCCCTAGTGATGCAGTGTTCAAGTTATGAAATTTGTCAAGGTACCGCAAAACTTCACCAATACAGTTGATTGACAATTAAGTAATAAGCCAATAGTAGAGAGAGAATTGCTATACACTAGCAGTGTAAGTCCAATAATCAATCTGAAGCGATTTACTCACTTTGACAGAGTTCCCAACAAGATTTGTGATGATCTGTCTGAATCTGCCTGGATCCCCTATAACAAATTCTGGAACTTTGTCTGAAACAAAGACCGCCAGCTTCACGTCCCCATTTGATTAGATATCAATAGCCATCATTAATAGATTGATGTCAACACCGCCAGAAAGGTAAACGGAAAAGAAGGAAAGAAAACAAAAATAGCAATATTTCAGTACAAAGATAAAAAAAATAGATGTCAATTTGTGCTTCATAAACTATGAGCACCATGCATGACAAGCAACACAGGGAGAGGAATGGCAATATTTTTGCCCCCCTTAAGCGATCTTTTTGAAAATCAGATGAGATGAATGTAAGTTTTGCATATATTAGGGTTGCACCACCCTTACCTCAATGCCTTTCTTTCTAGACTTCTCAGAAAATAAAGACAGGACCTCATCCAGTATTGATCTCACATGAAATGGGACAGCTTCCAGCTCTAACTTGCGAGCTTCAACTTTTGCCCGGTCAAGCACCTCATTTATTAATGTTATCAGTGCCTTTCCACAAGCTTGAGCAGTTTGAGCATAGTCTCTTTGTGTAGAACTTAATTCTGTACTCAGAAGCAAAGCAAGCATCCCTGCAATTCACACAGGATATGATTGCATCCCCATTTAGGTGTCCAAATACCAAAAATAGCATCTATAATTTTAGACTGAAAAACTTCTTAAGATATGAACATACCAAGGATACCGTTCATGGGTGTTCTAATTTCATGAGAAACGGTTGCTAGAAACTGAAATCAAAAACACAAATGAAAATTAGGTCATGGCAAGTCTCACTTCATCACAGAGGTGAATTGTGCTGTAGAAACATTTAAGATGTGATACCTGGGATTTCGCAACATCAGCTGCTTCTGCTCGGACTTTCAATTCCTGCATTTCATGGAAATCATCTTCAACTTTAACAATGTGAATTGCTGCACCATATAAGATATACCCTACTAATAAACCAATCACGAAGAATAAGAAAGCGGTGGTGAGTGCCGTCCATGATATAGGTGCCTTTTGAAGATATCTGCTCAGAATTCAATGTAATAAGTACATGCTTGAAAAAATTCCCCAGATCTCTTTCATCTATTATATGAAAAAATAATCAATGGCTAGATTCACTTGCCTGCATTTCATCTCATGCTTTCTGAAGGGATCTCCAAAATCTAGCTTGCTCTCATGCACAAGAGACACGTCACCTTCTTGATTTTGGTGACCATACATGATTAAGGGCTCCGAAGAGTTGGTGATATCATACACATTAACCAAAATTGCTTGATTACCAGCAAGTTGCCCAAGTAAATTCTCCACAAGGGACTCAACATCGAAGGCTCCCCCAAGGTATCTGCTTTCAATCAGAATTTCAATTTAGAGTAAAGAAAAAATCTAGATAAAAGTTCAGCATTGTCCAAACACTAAACCGCAAACCATTGGTACATTTATAACCAAGAATAATAATCTGTTCACGGAAATCCTCATAATATCATTAAAAAAACAAGTCATGTAGTGGTGTTAGTTGACAGCAAATCCTATGATAGTGGCAGAAGTTGTGGCACTTGTAGAAACGAATCAATACTGGTGTTGATGGTAGTAGTGACTGCAGAATGCAAAGTTTGTAGTGATTGTTGTATTATTTGAAGTGGCAGCCAAAAGTCAAAAACGGTTCTGGTAGCAGGGATGATACTAGTAGGCAGTAGGGAGCAAGCAAGCAATACGACTTGAAACATAACCTTATACACCTGAATCAGAAACCGCCTTGAGCCTAGAAGCGTAAGCCAATGATCAGCCAATTCCTTATACATATAAATCCTTCACTTTTCTTATTCATTTATGATGACAGATTTAATATCCACACACTGGCATGTGTATTAAACAAGTGATAACAATGGTTATATTCGCAGGCAATGGCCATGGTCATGGCAGTGTTTTCTACTACAACCAGAGTCAACATAAGCAGCAGCGGCACTTGTCCTTTTAGTCCCTTTTTCAAGGCACTTTAGGAAAAGTGAACCAGTAAGAATGGAAGTCTTGGTAGCAAGAAAATGCAACATTTTCTCATCCACATATATATTAAAAGAAGCCCTCAATTGGTAATTAGTATCTATTAGGATTCCACATTGAGAGGAAAAAGGAGTGGGCATGTGGTTTATAAGGGGTTGGACACCCTCCCTTGGCAAACCGGTTTTCTAAGGAGAGTTCTACCCAAGACCACAAAAGGATCACTGCCCAGCCCAATTCCTATCAAAGGCCCACTGTCCAGCCCAATTCCTATCAATTTAGGAGTAGGTTTCTATCAAATGGTATTAGAGCAGTCCCACCTTCCGAGCCCACGCAGCAAGGCCCAATGGGCCCCCTAAAGGGCCGAGAAGGAGAGTTGCTGACAGGCTTTCAGGGCCTGATAGGCTTTTAGGCGAAGGGAGGGCAATAAGGCCGACGAGGGCGTTGGGTCTCGCAGCGTGGGGGACTGTTAGGATCCCACATTAAAAGGGAAAAAGAGTGGGCATGTTATTTACAAGGGGTTGGGCACCCTCCCTTGGCAAGATTATTTTACAAGGAGAGTTCTATCCAAGCTCACATAAGGACCATTGTCCAGCTCAATTCCTCTTAATTTGGGAGTGGGTTCCTATCAGTATCCTCCAACTTAATATCAACTGGTTAGTTTCTACCAATATGGAAACTGAGTGAGTTTCTTCTTTAAAATCAAATTGAACTAATTAACTCTGTTTGCAGTTTGTTTAAAATCTGAACTTAAAAGGGGAATCGAGTATAAACAAATTCTCAAATCTGAGCAACATCACTTTCAAGCGTCATCCGGAGTAAAAATATCTCCCAATTCCATGTTAACATTTCTTAAACCTCTCATGTACTGTGAGGCCATATTGGCCACTTGTTAATATTTCTAAAACTGGTTTGCATTGGTCTTATAGTTCACAAACAAAAGAACAGTTATAAAATATTTCAAGATACACCAGCTATCAGAATAGAATGGCAAACACAAAGACTTACCCTCCAGTTGCTTCAATGCGCTCTGCTACTGTTGGCTTTGGGGGTAGCTTGGACTTGTAAACTGGAATTGTCAACACAACACCAAGGTGATGAGAACCCAGCAACCTAAAGGGCCTTGTCAGAACTGCTTTCCCAGTAGCCCTAGCCCTCAAAATGTTCTCTCTGTCCTCCTACATCATGCAATGAGGAAATTACACGTCTACTTAAACATGGAATTTCTCCAGCCTACTGAAAAACTAAAATTTATGCACAAGATAAGCAACTTGAAGATCAGAAATTCAATAATATACCTCCCCAGACATCATGTCAAGTGACCCAATATAGGAGACAGTTTCTTGAGAGAATATCACCGGCGCATACTCATCCCGCACAGGTGAAGGTTCTGTACTCATTGTCTTTATGGTCCATCCATTCTCTCTTTCAAATTTCTCCCTCTCTGAATCAAGCACTCTTTGTGCATAAGCAACTCCACTCATCAAGGGCCGCTCAAAAGCCGTTCTAGCCGTGTACTCCGCAAACGTTTCCTGCATTTTTTCACAACAAACAATCACCCCAAAATTCGCATGGTAATTTAGAAATGCTATGTTCAATACCAACATATCATTTTTGTCCCCAGAAAAATAAAGAATTGCTTAAACTAAGTCCTACAAAATTGTTCACCTAGATCAATATAAATTTTCCATCTTCTTTAAACTAAAGACAACAGCAAACTTAAAATTTCAAATTCAAGTAATTTTTCAAGAATTTCAAACAAAACTTTTCAAGAATTTCTCCCTCTAACCAAACAAAATTTAACAACTAAAGTTAAAACGTCAAAAGAAAGAAGAATACTACACAAACCTGATCGATTGCAGAGGGATTCTTGATGTAATGGAAGGTAGAAACAAGAATGGCAAGGGCGTGAACATGGTTAACACTAACACTAAACTGATCTTGCAACATCCTAGCCCTCTGATCACACATACTAATCAAAACATCTTTCCTCCTGACCTTGTTTTCAGCATCCATACCTTCAAAGAGCAACATGCTAATCACGGCCACCATCAAAACCCACAGCATAAAAAACTTAGGAAGCCAACCCCTGTTAGCCTGAATAAATGTGTAACCTTTTTTAGTCCCCGTTTGGTCATTCACTCTCAGAGCCACTGAATGGTTCTGAACCAGTGAGTGGTTCTGGACATGATGCTGCAGCATCTTCAGACCCATCTCAACACAACCCACAAAAACAACAACAAAAAATATCCACTACTACTTGCCACACACCCACTCCATATCTAAGAAAATGCAAAAGAGAAAACAACTTTGTTTCAAGTACTGGAAAATTATCAAATAAACCCTTTTACTCCAGGGAAAACTATGATTGCAGCATTGTTTGGTGTGAATGAAAAACCAAAAAGTTTGAATTTTTACAAAACAAGCACAGAACCCAGCAAGAAAAAACAAGAAATGTATATAAAAATGAAAAATATATATATAAATCTCAGTTTCTTGCTCAAGCTCTCTATAGTGTAGACTTATTCCTAAAGATTCTCTTTCTCAAAAACAGAAAAAATAATAGAAAAGCTCAAAAATCTGAGAGACAAGCATGGCTCTCAAAAGATGGAAAGGAGCTCAAATTCCGAAAATGGGGTTAGTTTAAAAAACTAGAAACAACACACTAATCATGTTCTCTCCAAGCATGAAGTCTTTAGTAGAAGCAAGAAGACAAACAACACCACGTTCACTGTTTCTCTGTTAAAAATAATATAATAAAAAAAGAACTCCAAAAATAAATAAATAAATAAAATTATGAGAGATGGATTGACCCAGAACAAAACCAGCGAAGCACAACAAAGCAAAATATATTGGAGAGAGAGAATGAGAAAGATCTGTTTTTTGGCGAAGAGGGGAACAAGGTTAAGCTGGAGAAAGTTGGAGAGAGAGATTCATTGAATAATAATAATGGTGAAAATAGTTTGATTTTGTTGAGTGAAATTAAATAATGATAAAATTAATAAATTAAAGTGAAACTGAATCGAATTTTTAAGATTTTTGTAGATACGCAGTTGTCTCCCTTCAGACACAACCCCCACGTTAACTCTCCCACTTCTTCATCCTGTATTCTTTTTTTTACTTTTCACACCCCACTTTGTCTCCTCCTCTGCTTCTTCTAATTAATGCTTTTCTTGAATAATTATAAAGGTTTTTTTGTTTTCAACTCATTACCCATTTTTTTCTTCAAACTTTTGATTCAGATTTAGTTCAAGTTTTTTTTTTTTCTTATTATTATTATCAGGATATCTAGATCAACTTACGTATACTTCAACCAATATCTGAGATCTTAAAATTACTAACAGAGTAAAAGCTCTAATAATCACCCTTATTAGTGTCTGAAGTACTCAAACTCAATAATTCTTCTTTTATTTTTTTACCATCACACTAATAAGTGGTGTTTATTTAGTTCAAGTTACTGAAGATCTTGTTAATTTCAATTTTTTTGCAGGGAAATTGGCATATATAAATCATAAAAGTTGTACAAGGAGAGATGAATTAGTCTAGACATAACATGGCATTAATCAAATAGGATACAAATTTTATATTTCTTCCAATATAAGGGTTTTATCGTGTTAATATTAGATTGGTTGAAGTATTATTACAAATCCCAAAATCATTATCTCAACTAACGTGTTATCTTAAGTGTAATAGTAACAAGGTTGACAATATTCAGGCGTTGAGTTAAAACCTTTTTATCTCCGACGTTATCCTGGTAAAACCAACCTACCTCCATCACCAACTCCAAAACCAGCTAAGATGACCTAAGAAGATTTGAGGTATCTAAGGCTCCGCTTGGTTTATTATTCTGATAATTTTTAGAATAATCTTTTGAAAAAAGTTAAATTGAGCGGATATTATGATATAGGATTTAGAAATTAACAAAAATATTCCCTATGTTTGTTTATTTACTAAACACTCCTATAATAAAAAATTAAAAGTTAACAAAAACACCTCCAATCCACCTATTAAATACGGACAGTCGACTATCACTGCCGAAGGGTGACCGAACTGTTTTTATAATTTCTAAAAAAAATATTTGGGGGTGTTTAGTCAAATTAACAAATTTAGGAGGTTTAAAAGAAATTAAAAATATAAAATAATATTTTAAAAATAATGATATTTTACTGTTTAATTTTTTTAGGAATACTAATAATAGTATTTCCAAAAGCGAAACAAACAAGCCTAAGATGTCATTATAATTGAAAGAAGTTTAATTGAAAGAAGTTTTATTTTAATTTGTTCATTCAATATGTGAATTGATTGTGTTTTGATTTGAAGAATCTTTTAATTTGAGTATTAACTTATGAAATTGTGTAAGAGGGAGAGAGAAACAAAAACAGAATCCTGATTTTATATTTAAATCTATCACATATCTTAACGATAGTGACACCGCCACGAGGCTTGGATCTCATTCCTTTTAAATTACCTCTTTTATTTAATTCCTAAACTACCCTTTTCCATTTTTTATTTCATTTTATTTTTGTGCTTGAGTATAAAATGTATATGCCTAATACAATTATCTGAAAGTAATATTTGTTTTAGTATTATTTTTACCATATAATAATATACAGTAAAATCTCTCTATAGTAATACTTTTTATAGGAATAAACTCTAAATAATAAAAAAAAAAAAATATATTCCCAATTCAGGATAATTATAAATAAGAATGAAGTCCATATTGTAATAAGTTATAATTATTCTAATTATTGTCTTAAGGAAAGGAGAAGTGCTAGTCTTATAAAGACAAATACAAATGGGGCATACAAAGACAATTGTTACCATTGATCTTCATGATTTCTCTCTCTCTCTCTCTCTCCCTCTTTTTCCGTTCTTTCTTTGTTTTTTTCTTCTCTTTGTAGCCCTCTCTATATAAGTCTTTGTAAGGATAGCATTTTTCTAAGGAAAGTTGCCTCTACATAGTAATAATTATCTGTATATTGTAAAAAATATGTTATGTTGCATTAAGGGTTTAAGATGAAATAAAATATTTATCTAAAGTTATTTAGGACACTGATTTATGTTTTAGAGTTATTACCACATTTTTTAACTTCTGAGTACATTACTCCAAACTATTTTTAGTTTCTCAAGCATATTTAAAGCTTCTTGACATGAAACTTTTTGTATTTCCGTACTATCATCCTCATGATTATTTCATTTCTTTTATTGTTTAAATGTAGCAATGATTTATTCTTCAGTTAAAGCACACATGACTTGTTGCTCATTTAGATGATTAAGGAAGACATTAATATCTATTCGATTAGTGTAGTGACGTTGTCGAATCTGATTACTCAATTCTACAATGACTCTTTGATTCTCCTTATCCACTTCATTTGTAACTTGCAATCCATCAACACCGGGGGTCCTAATTTTGCAATGCTTAAAACAATTGACAATTGTCTGTGGCTTCACATCAATTAACTATGTAGTAACTGCATTTACAATTCTATCAAGAACACTTATCTTTGTTGGTTCCAAGGCACGATCTTCTATTCGTTGCAAAAGTAGGCAATTGAAGTGTTAAATTGAAACCGTAATACTATTAAAACATAAATTGAAATCCTGATATTGTTCTACTAAAACATGAATTATGAAATAATAAATTTTTGTAACTACAACTCTATTAAATTATAATCTCATCATTGTAATAAAATTAGTTATTCCCACCGTTATGACTATAGAGAGGTCTTACTGTAATATCAAATTTCCCGTAATAATTGATCAAATTTATCATTTTTAATGCTTTAAGAAATTTTGCTAAAACTATTATTATATGGTACAATGATGCCCCTTTCTAGATTATGAGATAAAAATAGAGAACAAAATACCATAGAAAATTAGATAAATAAAAGTAAAATTACAATAATAAATTAAAATGTGTATAGGATTTTGTATTTTATAAATTATATATTTTGATAGAACCTTAATATTCCTTATCAACTTGAGCTTTTCTTTTTGGTGGATTAAAGTATTAATGAGATGATTCAATTATATTCCAACTATAGGTTAGGCAGCCACATCATAAAAAATTGACCTATTTTTGAGTAGTAGAACAAATTCTTTGTACCAACCATCTGAACAACACATATTTAGTATCTCCTGAAAAGAGTGATAGATATAAACTAGACCTTTCTTATTGGTACTATTGTCGTATTCATATCCGATTTGCAATGGCGTCTCTAGCATATTCTTGAAATTTATTAATCTGGTGTTGATTATGATATTTTTAAGAGTTAAAGGCATTGATCTATTGAGATTTAATGCACTAGCAAAAATCTTCTTAATATTTCTAAATAACAAAAATCTTTTTGTTATTAGTGAATCGTTAGAATTTATTGTATTATAATTTAAGGGATATGTATTGAGTAGTTCTATTCCATTTATTTTAATATATAAAATTTAACGATAAAAAGATTTATATTATGATAGAGATTTTTAACGTTGGGGTTATTGTTATTAACTCTATTTTCAATTAATTATCTCTCTTGGGCTTGTAAAAAATTATTAAGTATGCGATGATTATGCTCTTCTAATTAATTACCGTTTTGATGACTCAAAAAATCATCAAACATCATTTTCATAGTTCACACTCCACACAACATATTGAAGAAGACAAATGAATTATTTTTTTTCTTAAGTAATGTTTAATGATTGTCTTTTTTTAGATATTTAGAGACAAAAAAAATATATTAATCATTTAAATAGCAAAAATTGTAATATAATGTGGTCATATGGGATGTGACAGCAGGACCTAGGATAATAAGGTAAATGAGATGGTGATATTGCTTTAGTTATCAACATGATATAAATTAAAAAATAAAAACCCAATTCAACCCTAACTTTAATATAAAAACTTTTGGTACAAGCACCATTAGTTTAGCTGGGTTGGGTTGTTCTTCTTCACTAAATCCAAGTCAACTAAAAGTTAATTCATATCTTACTTTATTTCATTACCATTGCATATTCTTTGGGCAAAAGTAAAGGACAAACAAAAAATTATATGATTCAATCACCTTCTTTATTTAATTAACTTATCTATGAGTAAAATGTGGTCATACCACTACAATAAATTTGACTCTTTTATTTTGTACACATCATAACATATTAAATCACTACATTTTTTTTTTTTTTTTTATGATTTTATATAATAACTAATATATAAATGTTATTTTTATGATTCCTAGGATTATTACATTAAAAATAATAATATTATATTTCCCAAATTTTTCATCCTAAATGATATATCGTTTTATGTAATGTGGACATATCATTTACCACACCAACTATTCGTTTGTACATAAAAATCACATAAGAAAATATATTATGGATTAAAAATGAAAGGAAACGAGTTAGAGGTGATGATGTTAAATTTAAAAAAGAAATTAAGAGTTGGTAATGACTA